ACTATTATGGGTTTGGGATTCGAGTATGAATCTATGTTCACCACTGTCTCGTTATTCCCTGACAATTTCCCATTTGAGAAACTTCGAAATCATCTCCTTGAACAAGAGCAGCGGGTTCTTTATCTCCGCTCCCAGGGCACTTCATCCATCCATCAGGCTTTCGGTGCCACTGCCTCTTTTCCCGGGCAGTCCGCTAGTCAGCAGCCGGGCCAGCAGACACAGGGATCTCTTCCGTCAGGGGGCCAGCAGCAGCGTCCTTCAGGTCAGCCACAACGCAGCCGTGGACATGGGCACGGCAGGGGACGCAGTGGTCGGGCAGAGGCTGAGGACAGCATGTGCAGCCTGTGTTTTGGTACCCGCAGCAGAGTCAGGCGGGTTACACCGCGGCAGGGGGTGGTTCCTCCGTTCCAGCTGGGTATGCTCCACATCCAGGGGGTGTGCCAAGTACGGGTACTGTCATTTGTAATTCTGCCATGTCACATTTAAATATTAATGCATTACATGTTGGTGTTACTCATTCTAGTTTTGGAGGCTTACCAGCAGATGGTATCGTTGGTTCTGTTCCCCATCTTGTTGTATGTCAAATTTGCTTTTCTGCAGGTCATTTTGTTGTTACCTGTCCCTCACGCTTTACTCAGCCTTCTGCTCCTGCTCTGTTGACTACTCTTGGAGAATCTAATCCGGCTATATGGTATACTGATTCTGGAGCTTCTGCTCACATGACTGCATCCGAAGGTATTTTGCTTAATAAATCTGCTTACACTGGCTACATTTATGTTAGTGTTACTAATGGTGCCCATTTACCCATTTGTCATGTTGGTGATGTTGCATTACCGTCTTCATGTCGTTCTCTCACCTTAAAATCTTTTTATCATGTGGCTTAGTTAAAATATAATTTAATTTCTATTAAGCAGCTTTGCACAAATAATAATTGTACTGTCATTTTTGATAAATATTCTTTTTTTATTTAAGGACAAAGCCTCGGGGACGGTGCTTCTGCGAGCTACCAGTAGTGGGCCAGTTTATCCTCTCCGTTTGCCAGAGTCTCCATCCGTAGTTTTAGCCTCTGTTTTAGCGTCTGGCCCGATGTGACACCGTAGATTAGGTCATTGTGGTTATAACATTTTACAGTTGCTTAAACGAAAACAATTTTTATGTAGTCATACTCCTTTTACTCATGAGTGTGTTGCTTGCCGGTTAAGAAAATCACAATGTTTTCCCTTTACGGATGCTTGTCATAATTCTTCTCTTCCATTACAACTTATTCATTCTGATGTATGGCAATCTCCAGTTCGTTTTAATTTGGGGTTTAAATATTATGTCTGTTTTGTTGATGATTATTCTCGATTTACTTGGATTTATCCCATGCGTCACAAAAGTGAAGTTTTTATGCACTTTAAAAATTTTAAAGCTTTGGTTGAATTTTTTTTAATCAGAAAACTAAAATTTTTCAAAGTGATGGGAGCGGTGAGTTTGTTAATCATACTATGTAGCAATTTATTCTGCTAATGGCATTTATTTTCAAAAATCTTGTCCTCACACACATCAACAAAATGGGGTTGCTGAAAGAAAGCATCGTCATCTTCTTGAATTAACTCGGACTATGCTTCTTGAGGCATCTGTTCCGAGTCAATATTGGGTCGATGCTATTTTTACTGCTGCATATATCATTAATAGATTACCGTCTCGTACACTGATGGGAATTTCTCCATATGAAAAACTTTTTCACCGTATTTCTGACTATTCATTTATGCGTGTTTTTGGTTGCGCATGTTATCCGAATTTTTCAGCCACTTCGGCTAATAAACTTTCCCGTAGATCTGTCCAATGTGTTTTTCTTGGCTATGCATCTGACTATAAGGGCTATCGTTAATTTGATCCTACTACCGATCATGTCTATGTCAGCCGTCATGTTAGGTTCCACGAGTATACTTATCCCATTAAAACACTTCAACAATCTAGACCATCTCTTACACCAACCCATACAACCTTTCCCATGCACCTCACCGGTTACTCACCTGAACCCACTGCTCAACCTCCAGCCACCGACCCACTCTCTGTAGCAACACTACCCAACGATAGCTCTCCTCCATCCTCTTTAGAACCTGCCACTAGGAAAACCCCAATACACAGCTCCTCGTTGTCACCTTCCCCCTCCCGGTCGGCCAGCTCCACGACATCGTCCAGCTGGTCATCCACCGCCTCTTTCCATTTAGAATCTGTCGCTAGGTCCCCACCTCCCACTCTGTCTGCCCACCTTGAAACTTCTCAGCCCAACCTCGTCTCCCCTCCACCCAATTCCATTGCGCCCACAACTGTCTCTAATAACCACCCCATGCAGACCCGCGCCAAGACAGACATTTTTAAACCTAAAACCATTTTTAATTTAAGTACAGTTGTTATTCCTGCGGATCTAACCTGTTTTACTGAGGCTAATAAACAATTAAAATGGCGAGAAGCAATGGCTGGTGAATTTAATGCACTCATTAATAATCATACTTGGGATCTGGTGCCCTTTAACAATACTAAGAATATTGTTGGATGTAAGTGGATTTATAAAACGAAATATCATTCTGATGGTTCCGTGGAGCACCATAAAGCTAGACTAGTTGCTCAGGGGTTTAATCAACAGGTTGGTATTGATTTTTCTGAAACTTTTAGTCCTGTCATTAAACTCACCAATGTTCGTATTGTTCTTACATTGGTTGTATCTTTTGGTTGGGTTATTCGTCAACTTGATGTTAAAAATGCCTTTTTACATGGTCACCTGACAGAGGAAGTCTATATGCGTCAGTCACATGGTTTTATTGATCCTCAATTTCCTAATCATATATGTGGTTTGCGCAAGGCTATTTATGATCTTAAGGAAGCACCACGGGCTTGGTTTCACATAATAGATGCACATGTTCCTAATCATATCTGTAGTAAATCTGATAACTCATTATTTAATTTTCGTCATAATAATTCTATCATTTATTTATTTATATATGTAGATGATATTATTATAACTGGCAATTCTGAGTCTACCATTATCCAGTTTATATCAGTTGTTTCTAATCATTTTGTCATGAAGGATCTGAGTAATCTCCATTATTTCTTGGGTCTTGAGGCAATTCGTTCTCCTAAAGGTCTGTTTCTCTCTCAACACAAATATGTTTCTGATCTTATAACACATTTTCATCTCCATACGGTTAAACCCGTTCGCGCACCATTAGCTTCTCGTACTACTCTGTCTCTTTCAAATGGTGAGTTACTTGAGGACTCTACTGAGTATCGCAGCATGGTAGGTGCTTTACAATATTTAACTTTGACAAAGCCAGATATTACTTATGCAATACACTTAGTCTCTCAGTTCATGCATGCCCCCCGTATTACTCATATACTTGCAGTCAAAAGAATTTTCAGGTACTTGCAGGGGACACGAGATCATGGGTTGTGGCTACAGCGTTCTAATCGACCCACGTGTGTTGTTGCCTATTTCGATGCAGACTGGGTTGAATGTCCTGATAGCTCACGCTCCACTACTGGCTTTGCTGTCTTTTTGGGTCCTAATTTAATTTCTTGGAAATCCAAGAAGCAGCCCACCCTCTCGAAGTCATCCACAGAGGCAGAGTATCGTGCTATCACATACATAGTTCAAGATCACTCCACATCAGATATGTTCTCTTTGAGCTCGGCTACCCCATCGCGGAACATGTGCATCTATTATGTGATAATGTTTCAGCTTCCTATCTGACTGCAAATCCTAACCAGCATGCTCGGAGTAAGCATATTCACATTGATTATCATTTTGTTCGCGAACGTGTTGCCCATGGAGATCTGATTGTTTAGCATGTCTCACAAGATGAACACCCCAAACTTGCATATGTAATTTAAATACCCCAAACTTTATATAAAAAGTTATTTTAGCACCATAGTCAAGTATTATTTCTTTTTAAAATGTAAGTTTATGATGTTAATGGAATAATTTAATATGTTTTAGAATTCATGAAGACACAATTAACATTCTAAATTTCCATTGCGAAATAAATAATGTAATCCCAAATCTATATAATTGCAACACTTTTAATTTGCTATTTTAAATTATGCAATTAACTCAAAAAAATTACATTTTTGAAAGAAATAATACATGATAATGGTGCGAAAATATCTTTTTATATAAAGTTTGGGGTATTTAAATTACATATACAAGTTTGAGGTATTTATCACACACCCCTTCAAAGTTTAGGGTATATTTATTATTTTTTCCTTTAGTTTATTGTTATTTGTAACACTTTGGATTTCACCAAAATGGGTCGGTGATAGTCCCAGTATCTAACAATCAAACAACCATAGCAGATAAAGAAGACGCAGATAGAAAGATATCGAGATTAAAACCAAATCTGGTATATTGTGATAATGGTCGCTGCTCTCCCTCGAGAAGGAGAGCAGCGGCAAGCCTACTCTCTATCTCGCCTCTAACTCTCAAGCCTCGGAATCCTTTCGGTTTCCATAAGTTAGCCCCCTTTTATAGGAGAAGTTGGCTAACTTATGGATTACAAAGAAGCTAATGAGCTGATATACATTTGTGGCCCATATTACACGTTTAACTAATAACTACACAAACACAAAGATATTTAATTAGATTGGACACCATAAAATATTCCTAACAGTAGGTTATCAAAATTAAAATAGAATCTAACTAGGTAAGTAATGTTTATCGATACGTTTCTATTTTTTGTTATATTTTCTCACGTACTACGTAGTACTCCCTCCATCTCATAAAATAGTTCTCGCATTGACTTAGATCGGAATTTAAGAAAGTGGAAATAAAGTAAAAATGTATGGTTGTGGTTGAGTAAAAAAAGATAAATGAATGTTAGCCACACAAAATTTTCCAAAATAGGGAATGAGAACTATTTTTTGGGATGACCCAAAAAATTAAACCAGAACTATTTGCGGGTTGGAGGGAGTATCTGTTCTTTTTTTAAGCCCGGTGTTAAACCAAAAAAAACCATAAAGGCATTTGGGGTAGGGGTCGGGGAACACCCTACCTGTTTATTTGAGAAAAGGAAAGTACAATGGGTAGGAGGATCGAACCAAAGCCTACTCGGGAACAATTACATATGGGTAACTAATAACATCAAATTTAAGGATACCAATGAGCTAGTTATAGTGCTGCAACTTTATTCTAATGGAAATATTTTTAAGTGCTAAGTATTCTGTTGCCCGATTGATCCTAGGGTGAATGTGCATGATTGTGTAGTTGTAGCTCCCGAGTCTTCTCTTTATTTTATTAATCCTTGGCCAGTATTTCCAGTGTTGACTTGCCATCCCCGTGATACCATCATAGATGTCCCTATTATCAACTTCAAAAATAAAATTAGTCAAATTATAATTCTTTATATTTAGAATAGCTTCAATGATAGCATCATATGAAGCTGCGTTAAGGTCATGGTGATTGGCATTGTAAATCATATGGCCTGCGTAGGTCCCCTGGTCATCGCGAATAAGCACATATGTTCTAAGAGTAGTATGGGTCAAATGCCTAGTGGCTATGTAGATTTTGTGACGATTGGTGGGCGGCTTTCTCCAAAAAGCGGGCAAAAGGTTGGGAATAATGTTCTTAGACAAGGTAATGATGATGGTAAAGGGAGTCTGGGAGTTGTTGGTATGGAAAGGTTTTGCATTTGAACTGGCAAAGATATCAACCTTTATAGAACGGATTGCCTCAGGAAGGTGGGCCTTTTTATTATCATAGATGAGCCTATTACGAATCTTCTAGAGATTACAGATGACAGTGTTTGGAATAACATGGTTAAGGTCCTCAACATTACCCTTGAAGTCCTCATACCACCCCAAAATGTAATTATGGATAACATTAGTGTGTCTCGGAGTAAAGTTAAAAATGGTTTCAAAGTGCTTCCATACAGCTTTGTGAATTTACAAACCAGGAAAAAATGATCAATGGTATCATTGGTACAACACTAGGGCATTTAAAGGGGTCAGAAATCCCAAAATGGTTTAATTGATTTTCAAAGGGTAATAAACAGTTTTTCAGCTTCCATATCAAAAAGGAATTTTTTTTAGAGTGCTGCTGTTCCACACAAATTTGGAAGAAGATGTAATCGTCATTCTAGGCCTAATCACATCATAGGCACTATAAAAGCTTAAATTGCCATTTGGGTTAGGTTTCCATAGGTAGCCATCCTCCCTATCAGTGTAGTATATTTTGGTAGTAGTGATTTGGTCCCTGAGGTATCTTGCCAAGGTATTGTATAAAGGAGGGATACGGTTGTTGTCGGGCATAGCCTCCCTTATGGTAATTTGGCTAAGGTTGAGAGGAATATCATCAAAAAGAAGAGTTTTAAACTGAGATGAGTTTTAAACTTTTGACCCTAATACACATCTATTAGCAAACATTTTTACCAAACTAACTCAATTGGGTAAAATTAAAGAAGAGAAGAGGGTCAAATAAGGTCTTCTATTGTTATGAAATAGTCACATGAGGCCATATACTTAATAAAGTGTCATATAAGTACCTCTACTTGTATAAAGCAATCAAATGAGTCCTAACGGCTTATTTAACACCTCATAATCCCGACTTTAGCTTACATGCCGATTTTTTTGACTTGTATTTCAACCAATTTTAGTTAAATATTTAACATATGTCGTATAATGTATTCTAAAAAGATGATCAGAAGTACGTTGAAACCGGGATTAAAAGGTGTTAAATAGGTCATTAGCCATTAGGACTCATTTGATTGCTTTTTACAAGTAGATGTATTTATATGACTATTTCATAATAGTAGAAGACTTTATTGAGTACATGACATTATGTGACTATTTCATAATAGTAGAAAACTTTATTTTGACCCTTTTCTCATAAAGAAAGTAACAAGTATACACAAAAGTGTACGTATTGCAGTGTTATGTGTTTTTGAATCTAATTTGAGTATATTCTTCTCTCACAAAGGATACGTCAGTAATTTACTTTTACCTCTTCTCAACTCTCATGTGTATTGCATATGGAGTGAAACCTAATTTATCTATCAAAGAACCACCAATTCATGTATTGAAAGTGTATTTTCACTTCAGTAAGAAAGTCTTCGACAATGCCTCCTTGATTCCGGAACACGGCTTCTGTCGCTGTCTAGATTTGAGTCTAAATCTGGCGGCAGTATTGCAGCTCCTCCCTCTAATACCCTGATGACCTTTTTTGGATAAAAAAAGGAATTATGTAAGCCCTCTTATCCGAAAATAATCAGAGAATATTTCAACTTTGACCCTACAAAAGTCGGATCATCATCACTTTTAGCTTTGTTTTCATTTTTGGTGTACCACAATAAAGTTCCTTCCTCTGTCCCATTGGACTTTATCAATTTTCCCTTTTTGGTTGTCCCAAAAAATTTTGAAACTTTCCCGGTAAGTATTTTGTGTTTCTGTTCATTTATCTCTTTTCTACACAAATTTCAACAATACATTTTTTACTATTCTTATTTCTCACATAAGAGCTTAAAGTCTATCGGGAGGGAGGTGGTACAAATTTTGTCTTCCTTCGTTTTTGTCTTATAAAAAGTAAAAATAACCAGAAAATTTTCTTTATCTTTTAAAACATAACTATAAATTTTGAGAGAATCAATACAAGTAAATAGGACTAAAACTCTAAATTGTGCAGAATTTTGAACAAGTGAAAGTGGGTGACCAAAAGTGAAAATTGGCAGGATAAAATCTACATTTGGGGTTAGGGAAAACCTTTGACATGGGAGGACGCATGTGAGGTTCTCGTTGCAAACACAATGAAGCGGCAAAGCCCATTGCGTGTACTTCACGGGGTAAGTTTTGAAGTTGTGTTGATGCCAAATTGGAGTCCAACAACTGATGCTTATATGCCAAAATATGAATCGGATCCACCTTAGCTGAAGGGTAGTAATGATTCCCCAGTAAAATGTTCTTCCATTTGTGATATAGGAGGAAGTCACTTGTTCTTTTACCAGTAATCAATTCTAACAATACAAGGCCAAAAGCGTATATGTCAACTTTCTCAGTAACCTTTCCATGAGTGAAGAATTCTGGTGCTAAATACCTAGAGCAGAGTAGAAATTAAACAATTTTCAAAACAAAAACTTAACAATTCTTAAAAGGCTAGGAAAGAAGAAACCAGTAAACAGAAAAGGTAAAGTTTAGGTATTATTGAGCGCGCATGTACCCTGAAGTTCCTGGATGGTGTTTGTCATCTGAGAAGTCCCATTCACTGTGAAACCTTGCTAGCCCGAAATCTGTAACCTGATATAGAGACATGAACAAACACTTGAAGATGTAGATCTATATGATTTCTGAAACTTGCTATGGATTACTACTAAGAGTTGGTTTTTATCATCATACAGGTTGGAATAGTGAATACTCTACTACCCTTGTTCTTTTAGGGACTAAACGAGACAGTTGAAGAGTTAAGGGATATTTTTGGGCATTTGGCTGTACTGTTTCTAAACACATTTATCCTTTAAATTGTTCTTTGAAGAAACGAGTAGTGTCACAAAACATCCACTTCTACTCCATAGATGACAAGTAGTTATTGAAGTAAAAAAATAGCGGGTCTATGGTCTATTCCTTTTCCCATGGAGGGTCATTGTTTATGTATTCCAAAACAATTATGATAACTCCATTGTTATCCATAAATAAATTTTTGTAGTCTTATTCCCTTTTATCTCTCTTTGGACCAATTCAGTAGTGCTAACTTATATAGTAAGAACTGAGTTAAAGTTAGTGGGGCTATCTACCATATTTCTTGAAAAACAGAAGTGAAACAATTAGTACTGCGAGAATAAATAAAATGTTACCAAAGGTTCAAAATCATGAGTTAGGAGAATGTTCTTCGGCCGCAAATCCCTGTGAACTATACATCCAACCCTACAGTCCTCGTGAAGGTAGCGTAACCCTCTGGCTGTCCCTGTAGCTATCTTCAGTCTTGATGGCCAATCAGGAGCTTTACCACTGTTTCCTGTCATATAGTATTGATAAGTCCCTAGCTAGAGTAACGACATAGATATATAATGCGAATATATTTTTCTTTTTAAAGGAAATAAACAGAAATTACCATGTAAATGAAAATCCAGGGACTTATGGCAAATATATTCATAAACTAATAGCATCCTGCTTCGTTGGATGCAGAAACCGATGAGAAGCACAACATTTCTATGCTGTGCACAGCTCAAGACTCGCACTTCCCTAGAGAAATCAGCATCAGCTTGAGAACCAAGAAACTTGAGCTGTTTCACAGCAACCACCACTCCATCCTTTAGAATCCCTTTGTGAACCAAACCAACCCTTCCTTCTGCAAGAAAAGTTTTGCTGGAGAACCCATCTGTGGCTTCCTCTAGCTCTTCATACGGAAACTCCCTGGGTGGCTTCCCAAATGATGGAGCGTTCAGTTGACATATTGAACATAGCGGGGGTGGTTTTGAAGAGACCTTACTACCTAAAGATACTGCCTCCCTTATCCCACTACGTGATGAGAGAGTAACAACTTTTTCCCCAACTGAGTCCATTGCTTTGGTTCCCCGGCCACGCTCAAAGTCACTTTCTTTGTAAAACCTTCCTGTATTTTTGTTATTATTAGGACCTTCATATAGTGGATTGTGCTGGCAAAGAAGAACAGATAGATTTTGTGGTGGAGCTGTTCTCATGTTGTATAAAGGACTTGTTGGATCCTCTGGACTGCTAACAGGAGTTGAATGTTTCATTCTCTGGCTATAGCCATGTGCATTTAGATGGTCCAAAAGGGGTGAAGAGTGAGCAGAGAAGAAAGGGGTTTGTGGCGGCCATTCGTCTGCGCACCCTAAGTTGAGCCTAAGGACCTTTGGATGCGAACCTGCCTTGATGACTACAACATTGCATCGTAGTCCTTCCACGCATACCTTTAGCTCATGTTTCAGTTTTCTGACTTAGAGAATAAGAAAAATGAATTGGCATTTGGCAGTAGTTTTTTATACTTGCAGATCAGACACAAATTACAGAAACATCTATCAGATCAAAACAATTAATAAAGAAATACGTCCTATAGTCCTATGTAGTATTATGGGAGGGTAGTCCTATGTAGTACATGTAACTATGTAGGTTTACTCCCTTGAGCAATTTCTTTATCTTTTTCTTTCTGGCTTAAACCTTTGCAAAAAAAATTAATTTTAACTTTCTTCTTGTTTTAAATCTGCCATCTTACCATCCCTATTCTCTTAGGGAAGGTTAAAAGCAAAGATAATCTTATAGTTTTGTAGGAGGGAGTAGTATATATTAAATATATTTAATTATCCTTTTCACTTTGTTTATGTTTTTTTTTTGAAATTTTATCCTCAACTTAATCATTGTGGTGATATGCTCAATGAAGCACAAATAAAACATTTAATATGCATATTAGTGTGACGCCTAAGTAACAACTATTTTGCATTAGAATGAGCATAAGGAGTACTTCCTCCTCCGTTCCTATTTTATCTTCCAAATAAGTTTGGCACACAATTTAAGATAGTGAGTATTGTGTGGTGGAGAGTTGTGAAGAGGAGAGAGAAATGTGTAAGAAATATTGTGAACTACAAATTCTTTACTAAAAAGGTAAAGTGGATGTTTTAATTGGAACGAATGAAAAAGGAAAGTTGGAAATTTTAATAGGAATAGAGAGAGTATAATAAAGTAGCAGAAAAGACAAAATTCAAGAGCTAGTATGTACGGAGTACATTCTATGCGTAAGACAAAATTTATTAGAGTGAATTACTTGTCCAGTATAACCCAGCTGGCTCCGATGCTCTTTGCTTCAGCAGCCACTGCACCGGCAAAAGTGGCTGACACAACCTTAATCCGTACTCTGACCTATAATCAAATTGTAAGATTTTTAGGGAAAGTACACATATTTTGTACACGTATTTTACAACTAGTCTAAATTTTGTCTTGTGTAGAGAGACATAATATAGATACTCCCTCCGGTCCCAAATGAAATTCACACTTTGATTTTACACAAATTAAGGAAATAAATTTAACTTTATTGTAGAGTACACTGTTGTGACACCGTTTGACACTGTTTTACACTGTTTTGATGTAGATAATTTGTCAAATAAGGAAGGAAGAAGAAATGTGAAGTTTATTTTGGACCTACCCAAAAAGGAAAGTGTGAATTTCATTTGGGACCGGAAAGAGTATTTTACAACTAGTCTAAAACTTGTTTGTGTATAGAGACATAATATAGATATTTTATAACTAGTCTAAAAGTTGCCTCCGTATAAAGACATAATAAATTTGTACACAAAAAATGTGTACATTAAAAGTTGTCCCTGCTTTTACTTGCTACTGACCTACTCGATTATTGATATAAAGCATTTACCTGTTATACATGCACTAAGCCTTCTAATATCGAATGAAAACTGTTCAGTGAGTACAATTGCGACTACACAACAGCAAAGCGCACATGCTTATGCTCTCCTAAAATAAACAAGACCGACTGCGGTCCTACTTGTGCAATGTGCAATATGAACATTATTAATTAATTACTATGCTAAAAATGGGTCTCTGCAAGTACTGGGAACAGAGTCTCACTCTCTATCCGTCAGATTGGGATTATAGTCCAATTTACATCCTCCCAACGTACCGTCCCGTCGGGGTTGGAGGCCATGGGGCGTCATCCTTTTATTATTATTAATTAATTGACCAATACACGCAAATAAGTTAAAAATTAAGAAGTACCGAGTATAAAATACTTTTGTTCGAGTCTGCATTTCTGCAAATGCCTGCCGTTAAAGCAATTCCCATAAGTGTTGTCCATTTCTCTTTAAATCCATATGAAAAAAGTGTAGGAGTAGGAGAGCCATAGCTACACTCTACCATTTTATTACCAAGCTTAATCGCAGTAATAAGTGTACAGATGTTATTCGTATCAATTTAGGAGTGTAGAAAAGTGAGAGGTGTTACAGTATTTCCTGCTACTATGAATCACTCAAACACACTATAAGCGAAGCTGGACTCTCTCCAGAAGAAGAACAATCTCAGAAATCGGAATCACTTCAACGTAGGATTGTGATCCATGATCAAATCACGGAGGTGATAAAAATACTCAAAAAAATGTACTCCGTAAATCAGATTCCAGGATAATATAAATTAATCATTCATTGTCAAAACAGAGGAATCTAAGGAGTCATTGTCGAGTGATTTACTCACATCAATCTGGTCGTTGAATTGAAGAACCATCTGAGAACACGAGTCGGTGATTTGACATATTCGATCCGCCGAGTTCACCAGGTCGCGGCGGCGGTCTCCATTCAGCTTTGGAAACCCCCAAAACCATTTCCTCTCTGCTACGGCAATGAAAATGAACAGAAAACACACTATAATTTGCTCAGCAGTTAACTACTCATAGTAATGATCTACAGTAATTCCGCTAAATTAGAGGAAAGGCGCGTAAGCGCGTCGTTACCTGTTTTTTGCTGTGGAACAACCGCGAGAAGCGTAATGCAATCTCCGGGACGCGCGACGTGAGACAGAGCCCAAGCCAGCGCGGCCTTGGCGATCACCTTCTCCGCCTTGACGGCGACGATCACTCTCTCCGACGGCGCAAGCATGTGCGGCATCGAGCTGGCTCGAAGGTCTGATTTTGGCGGTAACATTTTTAGGCGGCGACGAAGTGAGATAGAAAAGATGGAGGGGGAGGTAGAGAGGTTAAATGGTTAACAAACTTGTCAGGAGAGCAAGCGGCATTAGATAAGCCATGACTGTGCGTAAGTCACAGCGAGTATACATTTCATATTTCAGTTCAACTAATTTTCGCGGGCCCCAGCTCTGCCCAACTTCCTTTTGACTCTTTTTTAGGTAGATCCAGCTCAAAATCTACCCCCTCCTCTCTAGTAATTGACAATTTCGGGATGTCTCCATGTACCTAAGGAGTTAAGAAATACAAGTACTTATGGTACAAAGCCTAGTTAATTAAATACGATATCGGAATTAAACGAGGTTTAATATGTACGCGTTTTATTCGATAACATTAATGAAAAAACGGTCAAAAATACGTTCAAAAAAACGTTGACTTTTAAAAAACGTGTTAATACATATACGTGTATAATACGGTATCTGTTACAAAAATTCGGATAAAAAATACGGGTACTATTTTGAACATTTAAATTATATACTTCACAAAATAACATATATAGTAAAAAGAAATAAAAGTTTACAAATATTCAAGTTGCAAATCTCATTACTACATAAAAGAATAATTCTTAATTGCATACGTCGATGATAAAAATAAAAATTGCAATTAAGTCCACGACATGATTTTGTAAACAAATGTCAACAAATAAGACATAAAATATAGATTGAGCCTAAGTTAAAATGTTTATCTTTATATGATCATCAAATAACACTCAATTTAAATTCATCATTTTCATCAACATATGTGTAAAAGTTTATACTAAAAAAATGTCAGGTATAGAATAACTTTAATTTTGACATGCTTATTTGGAAAAACATCAAAAATCTAATACTTTGTAAGTTTGTAGTATTTTAAGTTTTAGTCTTTAGAATGTTAGCTTTAGCCTTCATGCAATTCATTTAGTATTTAATAATTGTATTTTAGCAATACAAAAACATGAGGTCACATGGAAGAGCTTTTCTTTTTTTCTTTTAAATTATTGTGGATCCCCTATATATTGATTTAATGTGTTCATTCAATTCATCAATTCATGTTTTTTATTTTTTGTAAATTAAGGGATGCAAGCTTAAGCCGCCATGCAATTAATTTTTGTATTTTATAATTGTATTGTATTTATTAAGTTTTGGTTTTGCACTATTGTTGATCTCATATGCATTTAATGCGTTTATTCAATTGATCAATTCATGTTTCTATTTTTAGTAAAATACGGGAAAATACGTTTTATACGGGAAGTAAAAGTTTTTTTCCCTTTTTAAACGGATCGACATTATTTTTTGTTTTAAACGTGTTTTTTTGTTTAAAAAAACGGCACGCGTTTAAAACGCTTTTAAAACGGAAAAAAAGCTAACTAGGGTACAAAGTAGTCCCTCCATCACTTCAATTTTTTTACACTTATCTTTTATAAAGTTTTGTGTAACTCCCTATGTAACATTGATACAGGTGCGCGAAAATGGGTACAAAGATGTGACAAAACTAAAAAAAGTAGGATACAGATAATGTGGTGTATTTATAAATATAAAAAATTATGGGGTGTATTTATTGTATTAAAAATTACAAGTTTTTTTTGAAAATATATACACTAGTGCATCTTCAAATATAAATATATTCAATAAGTCATTAATTTGAAATCAGTAACGAGACAAGCAACCACAACTTTGAAATTCAAAGTGTAAGTACTTAAAGTTTTTGGATAATAGAGACAGAAAACAATACTATAATAAAAAACTAAATATTCTAACACATATTTCCACTGGAGCTACTAATTTTCAGGGATAACATCATCTTCATGCATTAACAATAAATAAGTGAAAAAATATGTCAATGTGAAAAAGTGCAATAACGGAAACCGAAAATTGGAGCGTAACGAAGTAAAAGAAAAAAATTTCACACTTTTCACGTTAAACACCTTTTTATTTGATGTGAATCTAAGGAGAATAAGAGCTATCGTGAGAGCATACACTTTTAATCTAATGTGATGTACAATGACGCACGTCCATTGCACTGCTTTAAGTTTGATCAAATCAAGCCCATATCTAATAAATACACTAGATTTTGGTAGACAATGTCAAAGTGAAAGAGTGCAATAGATAAATTTCATTGTGCATCAATTAGGGTAAAAGTGTTTGTTCTCGTGATAAGCTTTGTTCTTATTTGATCCGGACTATATATATAATCGATGAACAAATCTGTGGCAGCTTTAGTCTAGATTAATTCCAAATTTGCCATGAACAGGGATTTCTATTTTGCCACAGATTTGGCAGATATATCATGGAATAGTAACAGAAAACTGTCAAAAAATTGGCAAAAACATGAAAGGAATAACGAAATGTTCGAAAAATTAATTTACTTTTAAGGGAATAAGGACTCTAACACGATGTAAATTAGAAATACGAAGTTAATGAAAAAAATCAGAAAAGCTAGTTTCAATAAAAACATTTTGCCAATCCGATTGTCAGTGTACGTTTTCGCCATAAACTTGATCAAATCGTATGCCATCATCCAAAAATCCAGAATTTTCTTTGATGGATTATAGGGTATCCAAAGTATATTAAAATGGAGAGATTGAGCTAGATAATTGGAGAAGATGGATGAATAATAGAAATGATATTGTGTATGAATTATGAGTTGTGAAAAGTTAGGTTTACAAATGGCTCCAAGAGGAGTATAAATAGGGAAATAATGCGCCGGGCCGCTAATACGGACCCGGTAGCCGAACTACATAAAAGACTAATCTAGTACATAGTTACATACAAATGACATATAAGCAGTACAATAATACAAATGATGTCCGTAAGATGTGTGTGGGCCGCTGTCCGGGCCCAATAGTCGTGAGACCCGGGGGTCCGAGTCTATATACTCTATCAGGAGTCCCCCACTCTCTGAGTCAAGAGTATTCGAGGCGAAAGAGAGTAGAACTGTGTGCTGATCTGTCGCCGTCTGGTGAGTAAACTTCATGAACAAAAATTTGAATTTCTGCTTCTTTGGTTAACGGAGGCGCTAAGTCCCCCGCTCTTCCAGTCCCCCACTCCTTGAGGCGAGTGTAATGAGGTGAAGAGGAGTAGAGTAATGCGTGTCGGATTATGTCTTCAACAGGGGGGCGAGGGTTGACACCTTTTGATCCACGATGGGGAGATGCCTCGTTAAAAACCTCATTAGGAAAAACCCTGTGGGAAAAAAATCCTAATGAGGGAAAAAGAGTACACCGGATGCCCCCAAAATGAAACAAAAGGTGCGAGCCCTTCGGCCTGGAGATGGAGCTGCAGCGGTGCCCGTCTGCTGGATGGTCGAGGCCGATCTCTAGATGTGGGTAGCTCATCATGATCAGTAGTCCTAGTCATCAAATAAAGATGACTAAGGGATGGGTCGAGCGACCGTCCACAATATGATGTATGGTTCATCAAATAAAGATGACCAGAACGTAAGGCCGATGGGACGAGAGGCCTGTACGAGAGCTCCACGTCGTCATATAAAGACGATTGGGCGATGTGTGCGGCCGAGGGGCCTGCATAAGAGCTCAACGTCGTCAAATAAAGACGACGGGGCGATGGTGTGGCCGAGGGGCCTGCATAAGAGCTCCACGTCGTCAAATAAAGACGACGGGGCGATGGTGGGGCCGAGGGGCCTGCATAAGAGCTCCACGTCGTCAAATAAAGACGACGGGGTGATGGTGCGGCCGAGGGGCCTGCATAAGAGCTCCACGTCGTCAAATAAAGACGACGGGGCGATGGTGCGGCCGAGGGGCCTGCATAAGAGCTCTACGTCGTCAAATAAAGACGACGGGGCGATGGTGCGGCCGAGGGGCCTGCATAAGAACTCCACGTCGTCAAATAAAGACGACGGGGTGATGTATGGCCGAGAGAGGCCTATATGAGAGCTCCACGTCATCAAATAAAGATGACGGGGCGACGTATGGCCGAGAGGCCTACATGAGAGCCCCACATCATCAAATAAAGATGACGGGGTGATGTATGGCTCAGAGGCCTATATGCGAGCGTCATGTCATCAAATAAAGATGACGGAGCGAGATATGGCCGATGGGCCTGTAAATGAGCTCTTCGTCATTAAATAAAGATGACAGAGCGATATATGGTCGATGGGCCTACAAATGAGCTCCTCATCATCAAATAAAGATGACAGAGCGATATATGGCCGATAGGCCTACAAATGAGCTCTTCATCATCAAATAAAGATGACAGAGCGATATATGGCCGATGGGCCTGCAAATGAGCTTCGCGTCATCAAATAAAGATGACAGAGCGATATGTGGCTGAACTCTGGGCTCCTTTAGCCTTTCGGCCGGAGACCGCAAGATGTTCGCTATATCTGAATAGGGGGACGAGGCGGTGGACGCCTGTCTGAATATGAGGACGACAACGCTGATGAGTCGGTCCGAATATGAGGACGATAGCGCTGACGAACCGGTCCGAATATGGGGACGATGGCGCTGGTGAGTCGGTCCGAATATGGGGACGAGGCGATGATAAGCCATGCGTCATATGAAGGCGACGATCACCATCCAGGAAGGGAATGGCAAGCCTGGTCGCTAGATAAGGACTTCGGCGCTGGGGCCGGTCTAAATGTGAGGACGAGGCGATGATGAGCCGTACGTCATATAGTGGCGACGGTCGCCGTCCGGGAAGGGATGGCGAGCCCAATCGCTATAACAAGACTCCGGCGCTGGGAGCCGGTCTTGAGATAAATAATCACGTCAAGGCCGAGAGGCTAATCGTGGTGTGCGGACAGCAATAATGACCCCGTTCGAAATATGATGACAAGGCGATGATGGAGCCGCTCGTCATATAGAGGCGATAGTCACCATCCAGGAGGGGATGGCGAGCCTGATCGCTAGCCCAACACACTCGGCGCTGAGGAAGCCGGTGTTGGGATAGGGTGTGACGTCGTGGCCGAGGGGCCGATCGTGATGCGAGGTCGTCAGCACTATGAGGCTGATCCAAAAGTCCAAGCAGCGGTCGCCATCCGATGAAGGAATGACTGAGACCGGTCTTGGGGATAGATAATCACGCCGAGGCCGAGGGGCCGATCGTGATGTGCGGACGGAGGTGAT